CTTTGGTCACAGCGATCAGATGTTGATATCTGGTTCCTGTGAAATAGTGAATCTTCTCTTGGACAGAGAGATTATTTTAACTATAATGATTGGGGGAAGCTCTGGGGGGCTTTTTCATTGCCTCTTACTGAACAATATGAAACTAAAGGTAACAATAAATAATGCATTTAGATACATGAGAGATTTGCAATGACAGCTGAAGAATGACGCATAATTTAACATATTTTTTTTGTAAATCAGAAATGAAAATGTGTGGAAATTCATTAAACCTACTACATTAAAATTGCATTTTAAATTATTAAACACTGTATAATAAATCTGTTCAGGGACTTCCTCCACACTGCTCTCACCTTGCACTCTTGGTCTTAGTAATTTGCATTGTTCTGTCCAGTTATAATTGTGCAGTAGACGTAAAACACAATATTTAGGAGCCTATACCTTCAGAGTATTTTTCACTGGTTTTCACCAAAGCTGAAAAGAAAATCTTTACCATTGGGACTGTTTTAAGTTTTTCTAAGCAAAGTTTTTGTAAGTAGTTAGTTATCACAGGATGACTTGAAGTGTAAAAGCTTCTGAATTAAGATTAGGAATGGCTGGCTGGGTCAGTGGGCTTAAGCAGGTATCTTTATGTTTACAGGACAGACTTTTTGGTTTGTTGTTTTCAGAGGGGATACAGTCACCAGAGAGACAACAGGGAAATGGCTTAAATTCTCTTTTTAACGTGCTCATAAACAATTTCCTCCTCAAACCTACAGACAGGTCCATAACCACAGACACGACTGGCTGCTCTTGTTTTTCCTCTATGAGATACCTGGGTGAGGATCAGACACTGTTCCTGGCCAGCACATCAGAGAATTATGGCAGCACAGCTGCTGCCTTGGCTTCATTGCAGGTGGTCTGTGTGCAATTGTGTGTGTGAGAGGGCGAAAGTGTGTTTGAATTGTGTGTCTATCTTTGTGAGGTCTGTTAGCGTTTTGGGAGTGAGAGCATTTTGGCGAGTCCCTGTAAAGGGCTGTTTGAGGGTTAAGACTTGGTTTTAGGATTATAGTTAGAAGGAGGTGTAGATTCATGTTAGGGCTGAGGTTAGACGTGTAGTTGTAATCGTTAGGGGCATGTGTGTGCACAGTGGTGTGTAAGAAATGTCAAAGTCAGTACACCAACTTTGATTTTTGATTTCTTCATGTTTGCACCAGGTGACTGTGGTTTTCTTTTCTTTGTATTTATTTTTCTTTTATTTAACGACCTGGCCAAGAGGCAGCACAGAATAGAAAATACAATAAAAGGAATACGTCCATAAGAAAATCAATACACAAACAAAACCGTCAGCACCGTTGCCTCGCAGCAAGAAGGTCGCCGGTTCGCATCCCAGTGAGGACACCCGGGATCTTTCTGCGTGGCGTCTCCATGTTCTCCCCGTGCAGTGTGGGTTCTCTCCAAGTTCTCCATCTTCCTCCCACACAGTCCAGAAACATGTTGAGGTTAATTGGTGATTCTAAATTATCCGTAGGTGTGAATGTGAGTGTGCTTGGTTGTCTGTCTCTAAGTGTAGCCCTGTGATAGACTGGTTACCTGTCCAGGTGAACCTGCCTTCGCCCTAAGTCAGCTGGGATAGACTCCAGCCCCCCACGACCCTAGTGAGGATTAAGCGGTGTATAGATAATGGATGGATGGATGTTTGCACCAAATGGAACACACACTGTGAATCCCAAACAAAGCATTGCAGTCATGTATTACTTTGACACGGCAGTTGGGAAAACAGTGCTGTCTTGTCAACAAGCATACGCCACGTTACTGGTATGCAGGGCAGCCATGCGACGCCTAAAGAACGTATCGTCAACGCAGCAGAAAGCCTTATACATAAATCAACTTGCCTACTTCAGTGTAATTCTTTAAAAAGATAAAACAAAACAAAAAAAAGATTTATTTTCCCATTGCTGGTTTTGTTTTATGTATTTCTTGAATTTAAGGGTTCTATGTAGAGTTGGATATATTTAGGGAAACCTTGCAGCTCTGTTTGTGAGGCTATCTGCTACATATCCCTCTTGCTGTACTATAAAACCAAAGATAAAAGCTTGGAAATGATCTATTGCTATAATGCTTCTGTTAAAAAAAAACAACCTTTCTGCTATCATACAGCGCTGTTATTCCAAATCCAGCAGGTACCCTCAGCTCGCATTTGACTAATTAGTAGAGCAAACACTCCTTAAATCCTAATGTCTCCCCTGATCTCCTCCACCTCTGCACTGACGCTGAGAGGCTGATTCTGCGTCGACGCTCGCACAAATGCTGGAAAATTAAACCCATTTAGCTTCTCCATATTGTAATTTTGTTATATCTGTGACCTCTACAATATTTTGATGTGTAATTCCAGAGCTCAGCCAGTGAAAGCAAGTTATTAACACAAAGGTCAATCCGGTTTTAAACTGCCTCGGTCCATGGCGACAGCTTGACATTGAAATACAATGGTGTGTGAGCTATATAGCAGCTTGACCCAAACGATTATTTAAGGGCTGGAACTGAAGTCCAAATACTCTCGAGTCTGTGTTAATTCCCAGCTTTAAAAAAAAAAACTAATGATAAATGTAATTGCTGATGCAGGTCTTGTGTCCGACAGCATTAGATTTGAGGCTGCAGCAGATTCTCTCAGGTCGTACGAAAAAGGACATCAAAGTCGTATTTGCCTCACAGCTCCCCTCATTCCTTTCTGCTTCCAGCTGTCGATAGTTTGCCTCTGCCATGGGGGGGCTGTTGTTCTCCTCCCGGTGCCTCTCCCTCCTCATCACTTGTAACCACAGCACAGATTTGCCGCTATTGATCAGAAAACACTCAGCGTTCAGCCTGCTGTTTTGATTGATTTTTGCGACCGGGGCCAGATGCTTTTTCACTTTCATTTCTCTCACCAGTCGAATGGGAAATTAGATGTCAGCTTCCAGGTTTACGAATGATAACCAACAGTTGTCGGTGTGCATCAGGGCTCTTTATCTGTCGGACATTATCAGAATTAGTCGCGTTAGCTAGATTGAGAAAGCTGTGAATGGATGAGTCACTTGGGGCTCGCTGAATGAAACATCACTGACCAGTTGTTCATCATTTGTCCTCATGCACCTGAAAGACGGAAACAGAGATCTCATTTTCTTTTTGGTGGGTCGATTTTTGTATGAAATTCAAATCTGCGGTCTATTTGATATAAGCCACTTGGATGATTTCTCGGTCCCACTTCCCATTAAAATTCTACATCCCCTCTTGGTGAAATAAATGATTTTAGCTAAGTTTATGTCATTAAATCATAGCCCAGGATCAGGTGGGATATAAGTAGGGAATTGTAAATGTATCCTTTATGTGAATACAGGAAAAAAAAAAAAAGTTTGACTGCTAATGCATTAAATGCCAGATCTTACAGGGATTATAACAGTTACTGTAGATTAGCAATGATAAATATAGTGCAGACTGCAAGTGTTTCACATTTTTTCTTCGGGCTCTGCGATTCATTGCGTTCACCTCGAGGTAAAATGATGGCTACTACATTTTTACTTTAATGTACGCTGATACAGAAAGAACTATGTGGGAAATATCGATTTTATTATAACACGCAGTGACACATAAAGTGAAACAAAATCCTTATAGTCAATATTTTTGCAGTCTCTGCCTTCAGTCTGGTCTTCAGTAAATTAAATGCAGCTCAATCAAAATAACATCCAATGTCAAGGATGTTCCACTTTCTCACCTTGAAAAGCTCTTTTGCCCTTTATTGTATTGATTGTCCTCCTGAACAATAAAATGTCCAGTGATTGATTTCTCTGAATCTGCAAAGACAAAACCCTCCTGTGTGCCTCTTCATTCACTCTTTGCTCAGCAATGAAATCATAAATAGACTTGAGTTTGCCAGTTCTCTTGGCAGCCATACAGGTTTTAACAGAAGGCTGTGCTTTGGGTCGTGAACTCCTCTTTTTTTCATCCACACTTCCTTCTTCACATCATTTTGATCAAGGGTGAATTTTTGTGTCATTCATCCACAGAAGTTTGTTAGAAAACGACACCTGTTGCCTTCTGTTTTTGAGGCTTAACAGAGGTTTCTGTCTGTTGGTAAATCTTCTGAGATTATGATCACAAAATGTTTTCTTGACAGCTGACACATGAACACTTGTATCCTGGAAAGAAACACTTGTTTTGCAGTCATGAAGGCAGTTTTCTTCATCTTGCAAATAATTTGTTTGCTTATGTACAAGACTTGGTTTTTCTGTCTACCAGATTGTTTGTAAGTTTTCCCATTGCACCCAACTGTTGATTTGGACAAACCAACAACCTCGTTTATCTTGAGATTTTCATTTTGGAACCTCATTACCATCTCCTTCCTTTCTATATCATATTCATAGATAACTCCTCCAACTCTGAGCCTGCGTGACCCGTCTTTTGCCCAAACTAACCGAAGAAACTCTTGCAATTTGTGGACTCAGTGTTAAAAGTTCCATTCTCCTGCACAGGTCTTCCAATATTAACATAAACCTACCGGAATTAAAGCGGAGACTTTTATGTAGTATTCAATATTTTATTGCGAAATGAATGTGCCGAAGCACACAGCCTGGAGAACGGAAAGTGTGTAACTGTCGAAATACTTGCGGCCTGGACTAAAAGTTGGCAGCTCTTCGAAGTTTAATTCCCAATTAAGTTTGATGTCGTAAATGCACTATTAAATTTCCTGCGACCATAATTTCAGATTGTAAAAGTTAACCTACAAAAAAACAGCTTGTGTGTAAAACGTCCTGCTTGTGAACGAGTTTTGTAATGATCCGATTCAAAGGGTTTAAAACTAATTATGTCAACAATTCTAGTCATGTTTGTATGAGCCAAAAATCCAGCAGGTCAGACATTTGTGTGGAGACAAATATCTGTTTTGATGAACTATGCATTGGGATATTTTTGCCCATTACGCTCTTTTCCTCGGGTCACAACACTGTAAATCTGTGTCTTTGGTTTCTGATTGTGTGCTCCTCTGTGTCCAGGGTGTGACGTACTGCGGGGAAAGCTCTGCCAGCAGTCTGACCATGGCAAACGTTCCCTGGCACCAGGAAGTGGTCGCCTTCGTCCAGCAGCTGGCGGACATGTTGCCTCAGTATGAGATCGCCTGCGAGCACGAACACTCTAACTGTTTGCTCATTGCACACACCAAGGTAAGAACCAGCCTTGGAGGGGAACATGCATCATCGCACACAACATACTGCATCTGCAAACTATAATAATCAACTGATTAGCTACCGAGCCTGCTGGACACCGAAGTAGCTTAAAAACATGCTGAAGCTACCAATTAGAAATGGAGCACCCCTCTTTTGGGTCTAAAATTCTTCACAAAATGTTTTTTTCAGTTTATTGAAGAATCAATCGGCCGTTCTAGGTCCTTAAACGGTTGGTTGAATGTGGGTTTTTCCAACTTAGAAGTGCAAGCAGGGCTAGACCATTGGGTTTATGGTGGCTGCCACTTCAATATAAAAGCAGCATGTGGTGGAAAAAAATGGAAGAAAACCTGCTGTGTGTTGATGCTAACGGCTCATTCTAAGCTATGAAAACCCAAACCTTTGTAGTTACAGGTGATTGATCGATTGTGAATACCACATTCTGCTTCTAGATCCCCATAAATCCTACACATTGGTTCTCTGAACACATTAATCTCCCAGAATTTTGAGTATTTTTTATTTTATTTACTCAAGTGCCAAGAATCTGTGGGTTCCAGTTCATAACGTGTGTTGTCTTACTATGTAGTCCTCGTTGCTAGTGAGTGGCATCTTGATTTTCAGACTGTTTCTCAGACAAGACCAGTAATTTGAAGCTGCCATTATGGAAACTGCAATTTTCATTATTGGCACGTTCAAAGTAGTTAAACCAAAATGCTGCACAAATAAATGGCAAGCAGACGAGCACAATAACACACATGATTTATCCGCAATAAAAACAATATTTTGTTTGCAGCCCTCATGTTGATTTAATTGGCTTAGCATTTTGATATAATTAATCGTGCTTGCTAGTAAAAAGAATTAGTCGTAATTTCTTCCAGAGCTTCTGACGGCATTTAGAGACAAACTGATGTAATTACTGCTAATGCTTTGTTCTAGAAAATGGGATTTTTTTTATTTTTTTTTATTTTTTTAAATTAGCCGTGTTTGTTTTTTCATAAACAAGAAATAGATTTACAGGAAATTATTTTTTGGTCATCGGAGGATAAATTCATACTTTCTATTTTGTCATATACGTAAGTGGTTCTTCTTGAAGTAGCTGCACAACTAAATTAAGAATTGGTTTCAGTATTGAACTAGCGTGGACTTTAAACTCTTATTTGCTCACACATGCCGTATGTGTGCATTGGGTGTAATACGTTTAGGTGAATATTAATTAGATGCAGCTTACTGGCTACTGCAGTGTTCTGCTGCATTTCTAAGCTAGCAGCATATTTGTTGACCCAACAGTCAATATGCAATAGCATTCTTTACACATATAAAATAAATGTGCATGCGGTTATTTTTTTTTTATCTGTTCAGTTTATTTCCCAGACACAGACACACAAATCATTTATTTCCATTCTCTGTCAAATTCGCTTCCCAGACAGCTCAGAAGGTCACCACACATTTCTAGTTCTTAAATTGGTATTTTGATTTTGTCTTGTTTTATCATTTATTTAATTCAACCTCCTGTCTGCCGGCTTTTCGACCGTCAGAGTGGTTTTACTCTGGCGGAGGCTCACCGCCCAAGAAAGTTATCAGTCAGCGGTGGGATCTGCCAAGGCGACTGTCCGTCAATAATTAATGAATGATGATTAATTGCCACCTCGGCTCTCTTTGACAAAGTAGAAATTCAAGAGAGTCTGCGAGACGTCCACACCTCCCCATCATTCAAACACATATAAACTCTGCGCTGTGCTCAATGTGTCGCCGCAGTTTATTTGAGTATCCAGACTCCTAATCCTCCTTTTGTTTTTATTTACTGGGGATTTATTTGCTTGGGACGGCTCACAGATTGATTTACCTCCGTCATAAATCTATGTCAACAGAACCTTACTGGACCCTCGGTATCTGCAGAGAGAAAAGGAAAGAGACAAAAGTTTATTAGACAAGTTCTTCCCCTTGATGAAATGATTATTTTATGTTTTGTTTTATTTTTTTTCAAGCAAAATGTGGCACAAGCTACCTGTCTGATAAACAAATATTCACAGTTTTCAAAGTTACAGAAACCACTGTTATCTTGTTTCTGTAATCATTTGGTTTTTTTCTTATATTATAAGGTCATGATTTGGTGCTATAGAGGTACAATAAATTGATTTGAGTACGTCTATTTCCAATGACCTTCTAAAAAAAACTTCTTTTTTAGCCGTGTCATAGCTTGAAGGATGGAATGTAAGTCTGTCTGCTGGTTGTTTTGTCAGTGCACCATTCTGGTCCAGACTAAAATATTTCAACCAGTGCTGGGTGGATCGACACGACATCTAAATCAATGGAGGCAGAGTCGGTTTTTCCATTCACCGCTTTGGTCCAGACGGAAATATCTCAACAGCTATCAGATGGATTGTCATGTTGTCCAGACACTGAATCCTGAAAGCTTTGCTAATCCCCCCGAGTTTTACCACTTTGAGATTTAGAGATTCGGGATTTCAATTGAAGTGTCTCAAGACAAATTGCCCAGAAATTTGTTGCATACTTTCATGTCCCTCAGGATGAATATAATAGCTTTTGAGATCACTTTCCATCATGCGCTGCCATCTGGACGAAATTTCAATTTTCCAATCATTTGTTTCATAAAAATGTAACTGCAAAACAAATTGCATGACAGTTGCTTTTTGCTTGTTAGCAATTCTAAGCGTACTAAAGTGCTTATCTCGTGTTGTAAACATTGTCCCTGCTTAACATCAGTATGTTATCATTGTCATTATAAACCTGCTAGCGTTGGGGATGTGTGCGATTAGCCAACTAAATGATTTGCTACTCTCAATAGTCGGCACTGCAAATGCTAGTCAGTTAAACTAATTATCAGTATTTTATTGATGTACATCGCCAGTTAACTGTTGCACAGCTCGCTGCCATTAGCTATTGGTTGCAGCTCCAACCGCCGCACACTACTGCCTAGCAATGGTTTGAAAGTGGTGTTAAAGGTTATTGATGAAATTGACTTCAATTGTCTCAGTTTTATGTCATTGACTGGTTTAAGTGTAAATTTCGATTTCATCGTCATTAAGAACATCACTAGTTTGCATGTCAGCATAGAACGTAGTGTAGCCTCAGGCCCTGCTAGCTTAGCTGTTGTCCAAGTCTTATTTTATACAGATAATCTGCAATGCATGCAAGTCCATGAGTAGTATGAATGCCTGTTATTACCGCTGTGGTGATCACACACACAGATACAGTGTCAGACACTCACCTGACACAAAAAAAAAGGGGTTTTAAGAAGCCAGTTGTTCACCTAATTCCTCTCCATTTCTCACACGCCAGCATGGACACGATCAATATTTCACTGAATTGATTTCCACATTCCCTCTCCTCTTCCTTTCTGCTCCATCTCTCTCTCTCTTTTTTTTTTGTCTTTGTGTCATTCTCTCACCAGCACAAATAGAACACTGCATATGTCCTCCTGCTTTGGACACCTGAAATTCATTTGCATCTCCTCGCCTACAACTGTCAGTACTTCCTAATATACACACACTCACTCTCTCTCCGTCTCTTTCCACTTCCTCCACTCAGTCACGCAGATTGCATTATTAGTGCTTGATGCTCTGAAGCCTGTTAAATAGTGTCTGCTGCTGAGCCGCCATGAGAAAAATGAACAGCATTTTGCACTCACTGCGTCTCTTAAGGCTTCTTCAAAAGAAAAAGAAAAAAAGACCTGGAGAAGAGCTTCATTTTTAAACATATACTGTGCCTCCAATTATGCTTTTTGTCCACGGGTGTATTTGTGTTTGTTTGCATGCATATAAACACACACACACAAGTTGTATGAATGCATGTTTGTTTGTGCTGAGTGTGCAGATGCTGTGTTACAAACTGCCAGGGAGAAAGTGTATCAAGGTTATTATAGTAAAAAGAAAACATAATTAGCAAAGTTTAAAGTTAATAAGACAGTAAATTATACCATGGGGGAGATGTGCGCATAAATTCAAAGAAAACTAGCACGTCAAAGCATTTAATAATTAAAAATCGTAGTCTCATTACTGCTAATATGAATAGCTGTGATTAGCATGCAAGCAGAGCTTTGCAGTTAATTTAAGTTTAAGAGGAAAGTCAACACACCTGGGTTTTGAGGACCCTGAATTAAAAGGTGCACACAGTGAGAATGGAAATCCTCCAAATCCCTGAAGCTAAAGCAGAGGCTAAAATGACAACAAAGAGTAAAGGCTGTCATTTGAGCTGTTTATTTTGTAGCTGAGTGTATTTTATCTGGAGTTAAAAACCTCATATAAAAAACTACATTCAGAACAGTAGAATTTATGCTTTTGCTATTTTAGGGATTTAAATGTGAGATCAAAACAAAGCAGAGGCTTTGATGCGATTTGACAGTAGATTGAAATGTCACTTTACTGTCAACATCAGTAAAAGGACGTAGACGCATCTGCATAAAGAGAGGAAATGAGAATAAAATGAATGTTTAAGTTTAGTCAGACATTGGAGCCTTCAGCCTGAATGCCTCGCTGTGCTTTTCATGTAAATATTTACCGATGCGTGCGTGTGCCAGCACGCTGCGGTTTTTGGGCAGTCATCAATAATCCAACAGACTTTGGGAACTGAAGGCATTTTTAGGTTCCTCCTGTGAACGGAGAACCGAATGTTAAGTGTCTTCAGCGTCCCGAGCATCTCCACGCAGCGCAGCCTCGGCAGGAAGAGAATCCAGAATATGAACTCCTCCAGGTTTTAATGTTAACTTACGTAACGGCGAGAGTTTAAAATGCATCACAGGGCGAGCACATCAGTCTCATCTTGTGCATGTGGTCTGTTTCTCTTTACCAAGTAGCAATAGATCCTCTCTGCGCTGACACATCATCATCATTAGTTCCTTTTCAAACTGTGGGATCTCCTTATTGGTAGGCATTTCTCATTTTCTTTGGATCTCTGCCTCTCTCATCTCTCATCCTACTCTCTTCATCAGCCCTTTTCCTCTTTCTTCTCTGTTCTTTTTTTTCTTCCCTTCCCTTTCCCCCCCATCTGTTTTTCCTCTTACTCTGTCGTCTTCTGTCTATGTCAGTTCCATTTTCTAAGAGGATGCTGCAATGAAAAAAAAAGAAGTTAAGGCAGATTTTTCTGACAGCGAAGTTCACTCACAGACCAGTGCTATCAGTAAACATCACATTAAGTGTATTAATATCTATTAGTACCATAAAGAATAAAAATACCTTTAAATATGCACCAGATCTTGAGCTCCACCTCCAAATGAAGTGAATTATTCTGAGGTGATCGCCACCGAAAGCTTTATAGTTATGTAAATGAAGTGTAAATGTGCTTTTCTGTCATTTTTCATGCAGTATTTATAGTGGTTTATTTACAAATAAAACCAAATACAGTGTAGTGTGACGCTTCTTTCGATTACAGTAGCGTTAATATTTGATTTTAATATAACAGGTGGCTGTTGTGATTTTTTTGCATCCAGTTCGGTGGCAGTTCTGTAGTTCATTCATAGTTGTGTCGTCACTTCAACCATGTAGGAAATGTTGTGTGGAATTACAACTAGATTACATTCGTGAAAGGTTCCTCACACTGAGCAAAGTGTCTGCACAACAGGGAATGGACTGTTTCCTCTTCGTTTAAAGAGCATATCTCCATGCTGTAGCAGAAGAAGCATGCGGTTTAATTTCAGTTTAATTCAAAGACGGAGATAAGAGCCGTTGGTCTTCCATTCGTTCTCTTTGACTGCATGTGTCAATCTCAGCTCAGCGGCACGTGTTCATACATGAAGCCACCTTCTTTTATGCTCAACGAAGACGCTGTCACGAGCATCTTCAGCGATCCCGAGCAAAGACGCTGTTAGTTAAAACAACAGGCCGCCTTGTTCTCTTCCCAGACAGCACGGTTTTGCTTTGTTGCTCAGAGACTCAAATTGTTTGCCGAGATGTCGGCTGAACAAATATCATCCTTTCTCATTACCAGAAACATTAACTCCCAATAGACGCTGCTTTCTTTTCTCTCTCTCTCTCTCTCGTTCTCAGGCCTCATTAGCAATGCAGCAGGCAGCTTTTCTCTAATGGCTGAGGCAGGCACAAGGTATCTACAGGCTCAAACGCTTAATGTTGTTGCTCCCTCAGAGAGGCATCATCTCCATCAGGAAAGTCTTTAACTGGGCAAATAAGCGTTAGTCCATCATGACTGCATTACGCGTCATTTTAAGCTGCTGTTTTCTCCGAGAACGCCAGTGATGTAATCCTCTGAATTACAGCTGTAGAAGCAGTTTAATGTAAGTCTTAGAATTCTCAAGAAAAAAAACACAAAAAACAAAAGCCCCTTTGCACCCACAGGGAGGTCTGGTCAAAGCAGCCATGAACCTGAAAGAGCTTTTAAATGCTAAACGCTAAGAGCTAAAAGCACAACAGTCGTCCCCGGTGACGACTTAGTGGCATTTTGCGTGCAGTTATAGCTTATCTTTAAAAAAAAAAAAAGTTCAAACAATGCCCTTGACTGAGTTTAAAGTCCTCGAGGACCATTTTAAAGATCAAACTTTGCTGTACACTTTGCCATAAACAGCACTAAACTTCAGGGGAAAGACTTTATGTAACACGGGCTCGAGGCTTTGCTTGCTCTCTGTTTTTTTTTTTTCTCGGTCTTTTCCACCTTTTGCTGTAAACAAGGGAAACATGGTATCGTATCAACTGGAGAGCACTGTTGCATGCTGGGAAAGTAGAGGTCATGCTCTTCACCCCGGTTTGGGAAAACAAGCAGGCTTAGAGAGGCAGAATAATGTCGGAGGCTTTTCCTTCCCTGTCAGCCTCCGTCCTCTCTCTCTCTCTCTCTCTGAAGCCGCTCACAGCAAACACATTCCTGTAGCTCCTCGCTCGCCCGTCCATTTGTCTCCCTCTTTTTTTCTCTTTAGTAAGATTGATAGCGAGCTGGATGGAGAAGTAGGAAGCAGTGATTGATAAAGGGGGCGATTGGAGGAGAAGGGAGGAGGTGGATTTGGTGAATCCACAACCATTTAAAGAGAGACTAAACTTAACAGCGAGTGGCAGATGTGGAGCAAGAAGCTCTATAATTACTGTTGGTCTTCTGATTACGTTTGTAAATTTTTTATTAACACTTTTCTGTTGGTGTGTTAATTCCCTCATGATTGTTCGTCTTTCCCTCTCAAGGGCGTACTTGTATGAAATGTGTAAATATGTACTGGTCTTTTTGAAGGTTTTTCATCTGAAATTAACTAAATTTTAGTTTGCAAAATGATTTATTTTACGAGATCTATTTTTCCCATCATGCCAGAACAGTTTTATCTCTTTGAAATCAGGTAGAGGTGATGATACTGTTTTCTGATTTGGGCTTCACTGACACAAAATGGAATTTGTTGGTAATATTTGCAAGATCTAAATCAACACCGCATGTAGATATGTTATAATTATTAATATCAGTAATGAAATAGATGTTAGTTGTAATAAAAGTCCATTTGAGAAGAGATTCAGCAGTGATGTCTTTGAATTTTGTTGTATTATCTGCACCTTAAGTTGTGATTTTTTAAGATTTTTCATGAATTCTCTGTTTTGGCTGATAAATAATCTTTTGTGAATTCACATTGCAGAAAAGTCGATAGAAGACTTTAAGAAGCTTACAGGTTTCCACACACTGTATCGATCAGTAAACACTGCCTGGATTACCGCCGCTCACTCCTGTACCAATCTTGTTTCTGTGTCCTTCCTTTGCGGGCGCTTGCAGTTCAAGGTGGACGGCGAGTGGTGGACATGGATCGACTACGAGCGTTTTCAAGAGCTGGCCCGAGCTCACGAGGAGAGCGGGGGACAGCACAGCTTCTCAGCCCTGGACTACATGGCCAAAACTCCCAGCTGGGCCCTGTTTGGAGCCCAGGAACAAGGTTTTGACCCTGCCGACACGCGCTTCCAACGGCGCAACAAAACCAAAGACATCTCGGGATGCTGACAGAATAAAGAGAGAGAAAGGGTAGAGGTCGGATACATATTGCGTGATCGCGAAGTAAAGTACAAATCAGAATCTAGGGTTCAGTGTTTTTATTTTCATCTTGTTTAAATCTCTGAGATTACTTTCTTAGTGTCCGCAGTTGCCCTTGTTCTCATGTGGACTAAGACTCTCCTTTAATTTCCTGATGTTTTTTATTTTATTGGCATCACACCCGAGATTAGCCAAAACTGCCGAGATCACTTCCGTCACATTTATTTCCAAAACATTCCCCCTTTGCGTTGGTTTAAATGCTTCTTTTGCATCGAGTTCTGATACGTTCCACTTCTTGAACCGGTGATTTTCAGACATTTCCACGACTTTCTTTGTAATCATCTGGCAGCACTTTGTTAAAGTTGGCGGCGGCTCCATCACCCGCCTTGTTTCTAGTAATTTTTTTTTAAAAATCATTTTGATTCTGTCGGCACAGGATGTGATTCACATGTAAGGAACGGCACCTTTATTTCTCCTTATGTTCTCTGTTGGAGCTACACAACTTTCCCAGGCACCTTTCGCTCCTCCTCCCACTCGTTAGGACTGTGGTGGTATTTGCTTGGCAGCGAGGGGCTCGAGCAGTGAGAGGAGATCATCAGGACTCCGCTGGGAGATTCTCTTTACAGCGCGGGCTTCGTAATGCTCTCTTTACTGCACATTTTCAGTTCAGGGGTTGTCTCTCATTCTCAGCAGCGTCAGCTCCGCCTGGTTCCACTGCTCCAGGGGGTAGAAAGTATGCAGCGTTTGGCAGGTTTGCTGTGATGTGGTAAGAAATCAGCCTATGGAAATGGGCATCATCTTATTTAAATACCTTAGCACTGAAAATTTGTCATCATTTTGGGTTTGACAATTTGCGCTAAAGAAGGGCTATAATGTCTGATATGATAAAGTGGGTAAAGGAATGGAGACTAAGAAAGTTGTATTGACGTTGAGGAAAGAATAAATCAAAAACACAGAACTGCAAACACCAAATTCTTGGACATTGCCAAGTCTTGTATCATTCTGTCAGGACATCTCTGTTATTTAGTTAATGTCGTTCTCTGACAATAAGCGTTAATTGCAAACTGTTTTTGAACCTCGCTTCCAAGAGAACCAAGCGGTGGGCACGGTCTAATATCCAAACGAACATACTGTAAAAAGAAAAAGATTTAGTAAGCCCCAATACATCCATCCATCCATTGTCTATACACCGCTTAATCCTCACTAGGGCCATGGGGGAGGCTGAAGTCTATCCCAGCCGACTTAGGGCGAAGGCAGGGGACACCCTGGACGCAAACCGGCGACCTTCTTGCTACGAGGCAACAGTGCTACCAACTGCGCCACCTTGCCCCAATACATAGTGCTTCAAAAAACACCAGGCTATCTTACTACTTTCAATAATATTTTGCAGCATACAAGCTAGCTCTCTTTTCTGGCCATCCTCTGCACAGTTACGTCCCCGTATCACACGGTTATATTCAAGCTTGAGCTGCCGACTTCTGCAGCCAGACAACGGTTCATTTGGCGCTGCAGACTGCGACAGTCAATGTTTAAGGCCCAATATTATGGCACAGTAGTATGTCCCAGCTGTATGCATGCTGCATTATTCAATGCATACTTTGTGAGAGTAGCTGCGGTACATAATTTAGGTAAAAGAAAAAAGTATGTGATGTGAAATGCAGCCAGTGTCACCTGCATGATGTTGCCAGTCAGCTGGCACCTGGGCTGCACCTCGAGGTCACTACACATGAAGCAAAAAGGGGTTAGTTCCTCTAAAACGAGAAAATGCATCAAAGAGATTTTGTGATGAAATGTCAGCATAATCAAACCACTCATGACACTGATGTCATCAGTGGACCTAAAGACTCTGTTGGGGACAGATAGTTACTGAACAGACTTCTTTCTTTGCATTGAAGTCTATGAGATTACCACTTTAAATAGACAGTCCGTTTAAAGCTTAATGCCCGAGTATGGATGAAAAATACATCGTCCAGCATGCCACAACAGTCCAGTACCGTTTACTGTTTTTTTTGTAAATCCAGATGTAAAAATCAAGTCCATTGTAATTTGTTTTCTATCAGTGAAAATCTAGATGTAAATGTTGGTTTTGATTTGTTTCCTACGGTTTCTGATGTTGCACTGCCTCCCTTTTGGGGAGAAACAGCAAGTGTGTGAATGTAATAAATGTATTTGGAATAATTTGGATTGTCATTTGTGAATTTCGTACAGAGCTAACGTTAAGGCACATGCCCTGTATTTCTGACAGATATGCTGTATTTTTTTTTTTTTCCCTTTTCCTTTCTTTCTTTTTTTGTACTTTTTACAGGGAACAAAGTGGAAAGTTGACATTTTAAGACCACCGTAATTGTGGTGAAAGCTTTCTGGGCTGCACTTAGAAGCCAACACAAGAGTGCTAATTGAACAAGAATGGAGGCAGAGGTGAAGTTCAGAAGTAATTCAAGACTACAATAGCTCCTATGACTCATTTTTTTAAAAATACAAAGATATAATTTTGGTCATGCTCGTATGGATTATATAATATGAATGTAAAACTACAGTAAGTTGATAGCAGTACTGATGGAGGAAATTATTTTGAAACACAAAACTGAACATCGCAGAGCAGACTTACATTATCTTTAATACAATACATATACAACAACAATACAACATAAACTCAGCTCTTAAGACATTAAGTTGTAATTTCTCAAAATATCTCTCTCACACAGATGCTTTTTAGTCTAAGTTGTCTCTTCTGGAAATCTGAAGATCGTTGTACAGCTGACAAATGACAAAGGTTTGGCCTATGCAAGGTTTTCTATAACCGCACTCTACTCGGGTTGTATGTTTTTTGATTACTTTTCTGACTTGTTTCCTAACTTTCATCAGCAATTACCAAACAAACAAGAAAAGAAGGACGTCTGGTTCCAGGTAAGAGGCTGCGCTGCACATAATAGAAAATGTTTGAGATTTTACAGCTAACAAAAACCTTTCAGTCCCGGTTTCATAATAAAGATGCTTATTCTTAGCCTAATAGCATTTTACTCTCTTGTTCTTGGTGTTCTCTAAAAGGTAAACAGAGATGCCACGGAGACAAAAACCAGGAAGAATTAACATCCATTATGCAACAAGAAGCAAATGTTTTTTCTTCTGAAATGAGGCCACATGTCATCACCTTTAATAGATTTCGAACAGGACCAGCAAGCTGTGAGGCACACGTCTATGCTGATAGATACATACCGTCCCTCGCTGTGTTGTCTCAAATTTACATTATGCGAAGCACGAGAGGGAACTTACCTCTCAGCGGGTAAACCATACATGACTGAGGTTGTCAAATACGAAACAGCAAGGGCGCCGATTTTATTGCGTGTACAGTGAAACGCTCATCCTCAAAACAAACCCCTCCTAGAATGGAAAGAGGTTAAAAAGGGGTGTCACCTTCCGTTGACCCTGCTAGTTTGCACACAGGTAGTTCCAGCTGTATTGCTTTGGCTGTACGCACATCACCGTCTGTGTGGTGACAGAAATGACAGGAACAGATCACACGTCTCGGGAGAGGAGACTTGCCTGGAGGTGGTGAGAAGGCCCAGGGGTGTGATGGGTAATGACCCAGTGCCCCAGGGAGCATCAGGTGAGAGGTTACCGAGGACAGCCGCTCTCATATGTACGCTCACCAGCCACTTTATCAGATACACCTGTGAAATGTCACTTCACTGCCATTAATTCTCCTTTTTGAGTGTCTATATATTTAGAGTTTTGCTTGATATTAAAAAGGCACTTTGTTTATTGTTGTGATCATAATGGGCGATGGTGGTTTGCTGGACTGTATTGCATTTAAAAGGTGTTCCTAATATTGTTGCTCCCTTTATGTAATGGAGTGGAAATGTGAAAATTGAAAGCATGCATTTTTTTTCTCCCCGTAGCACCGTCGAATGATATTTCCTGCTTAATTTGTTTAGTCTTCTAATTTAAAACCTGCAAAGATACGAGTTTGCATCTGTCAAACATATGTTATTTAGATACGCAGCACATTGTGCAAATGCAGCATGGGTCATTGCCTGCTGTTGTGTCTTTTACGTGATTAGCGTAAAGTGCTAATGGCATAGAGAGCATAATGAAATTCATTTTGAAATCTGTCCACAGTGGAATCATGAACATAACTGTGTAGGATTGGAAATGATCATTGTTTCAGGACTGACATCTTTTGGCGCTCTTGAGACTTGTTTATTTTTATGGTGCACTCTCAAAGTCACTGTGTCCTTCGGCTAAATGATAGAACATAATGAATTCAGTGGTGTTTTCAGCTCTATATGCCAATAGAAGTGTCTCCATGAGATGTTTATCTAATGTTATTGTGGAGCGCATTTGTTGTTCCAGCTGCACTCGAAAGAAGAATTTGTTTGGAAAGGAGGCCACTGTGCTGCACACAACAACAGAAATCCAATTGAACAAGAATGAAACTTTGTCAGGGTCAGAAAAATGAAGCAAGACACAAAGGAAAAAGAAGAAAGACAAGTTAAATGGCTGAACATTAGATCATGGCATCACACACCCTTTGCTTGACGATATTCTCTTTACTGTCAAGAGCAGCACGCTGCACAGTTACAGGCCACGGCTTCATCTTCCAAATATTTCTTCTAGGAGCCGACAGCAGATCCTGCTGTAAGATGAATTTTTCATCATGTGAACGCATGCAGTGATAATTTTTGAATGAGAAATGTGTTTTTATCATCCACCGGCAATCCTCTCTTAACACCAGAGAGACAAATAATTAATAATTGAGACCAACTGAAATAGAAAACATTACAGTTATTGTTTTTAACAGGATGAGTGTGTGTGTGTGTGTGTGTGTGTGTGTGTGTGCTTTGGGCTGACAGGGGAACAGGAAGGGGATAATGTCAGATTTTCTTGTCCTCAGAACTTTTATTGATTCTGTTTATTCGAGTGTGTATCACAGACGTCTCTGAAGGCTGATTTGTTTATTTATTTTTTTCAATTTCAAAAGGATCCTGAAGCCCTAAACCCTCTTAATAAGCATTTAGCTAAAACATATGCAACGCTAAAACACACATGCATGCACACTTGGCTGCATCCAAACAGTGACAGATGGAGACTCAAATGGCTTCAGTTCATCCAAAATTCTTTGTACTACTTTCCTACACCAAGTTTGTTGCAGATGTAAAGCGCCATTTGAAAGCAACGATCCCAAAGGATACAAAGGAGATAATTTTTGGCGTGTAGAAAATGGAATCTCGTCATTTTGAATTGTTTTCCCAGTTAGGTTTGGATTCCAACATGCCTCTCTGGAGACCTGCAGGATAAGAGCGAGAAGGCGAGGGTCAGTTTGTCTGTTTGTCATTAGAACATCAGGGCGTCCTCCAAGCACAGAGACGGTCACTGTCGCCGCACAACGCCTGAAAAATGGCTCTAGGTATGGATTTTTTTTTTCCCCCCCTTGCTTTTGTCCCAGAGGCTTTTGTCATCCGTTTCAAGCTGCCGGTGTTGTGTGCGAGCTCAGAGGCAGCCATTCTGAGGCTGTAAACAGTTTGTGTTCAAGTCCATGTGTCATTCTTCCGTTCTGCTTCCGCTCAACGCTTTGACACGGAGATAATCCGTATTTCTATAAAGGTGGAGTCTTCAAGCATGTGTCTGCACGCCTTCCCAATACTAATGTGCCCCGAACTCAAGGGTACGTGAGAGTGATAATGGTTCTTGCAGATGGCTGGTAAATGTGTTGGATGTTATCTGTGTTTGTCAGAGGGAGAGGGAGGAAAAAAACATGCTCTCAAGTTTTTTTTCTTGCATCACCAGTTCAAACCATTACCCAACCCCCCTGCTTCTCCTCAGCTCCTGTGTTCATGTCCAGCATGTGCATGTGCTGGTTATAACTGTGTGGTCGTGGTCATCTGTATGAGTGTCCTTTTAGGGCCAGATGTCCAGAGAATCTGGCCTCCAAGCGGTCCTCCTTCCCTCAGTTAGTCCTGTCTGGGTCCATCTGTAACGCAGCTTCCCTCCGAGATAACCTGCTCCTGGACTGTGGTGAGAAAAGCCTTTGACAGATTAGCTGTCAGCAAAGGTCTGTTCAGTTTGAGATTTCGCTAAGTCTCCATGCGATTGTGTTGTCCACATTTTAATTGAAAAACTAACAATGTATTGTTATTATTACAATGTAGAGTGATTGAAATTTGTGTTTTTACCAAGTCAGAGCAGCATTACAGAC